GGGGGGGGGTTGCTTGCCAGACCACACATGGGGGGGGGGGATTATTTCTGCAGTTTTCTTTCTTCTCGAGATGATTGATGATCTGTAAATTGTCTCGCTTGGGTTGCGTCGTTCGAATAGACGCAGGCGTACGGTGAATGTAATCTGAAAATTGTGTGGAGCCTGAGAAATAAAGACTCGGAGTGCGTGCAGGGCGTCATCCATGTGTGTCATGGTGGCGAAAATTCTTGACTAGGAGCACTGTAGGAGCAAGCAGGTGCTACTTACTTTTCCGTCTCCTTCAACGGGCGCGCGTATCACGGGTCAAAAGGCCCGCCCATTCACTAGTCTAGGGCAATTACAACGAGCACCCGCCCCCCCCCGCAGCCAATATCTCCCTCGTGTCTCTTCGCCAGGACGCGAAACCGTTCGTCTCGAAAGGGGGGGGGGGGGCTGTCGCGTTGCCTCGGCTACCCCGACTTTTGAGCTGTACGTTTGATCGTTACAACCCTCTCCCACGCTCTGATTATCAAAGAGCAAACCAGAACGGCAAAACGACGATCGCAGTAACCGTTTGCCGCGCTCCGTATCCAACAGCAAACCAGGTCTTCTCGCTTGGTGCTGCGAGAGCCTGGTCCGGTGAGAACCTGGTCCGGTGAGAACCCGGCGTGCTCCGTCCCAGCTTCGTAGATGCGAGGTCAATGGTATAACGACTACAGCATGCACACGACTATGAGTACAACCCCCCTTCGAAGTAGGAAGGAACGATTGGTGAACGGTGATCGGTCCTGTGGGAACAACAATGCTCCATCCTCTCGAGAGGACGCGCGGTGGTCAATGGTCTCACCGCTAAGACATGCACAACATAAGAGTACCCCCCCCCCCCCACCCCCCCCCCCCCCCTATTTTTGGGGAGTGGGAATTTTTCCGAAGGAAAAAAAGGATCTCCAGGAGGAAATGAAACAAAAAGGGGGTGACATGGACAAATTTGGTAAATTTAACAACAGCCAAAAAACGATCGCGATAATTGGGGATAGATGGTGGGCACAAGAGGCCCTAGAGGACGGGGATAAGATGTGCAAGAAATTTTTTATGTAGTTTGTGGCAGAAACGTAAAGAGCTCCCAAATGTTGGTGGTGTCTCTAGTAGGGGTAGGAACGGTGCTCTGTCTCGAAAGGGACGCGTGGTCAATGGTCAAATGACTAAGGCAAGCAACAAATGAGTACGTCCCCCGTCCTCACCAGGACGTATAGTGATTCAGGCCGAAGAAGTCGTTGCTCCCGGCGATCAGGGCGCTCTCCTCCTCCGTGAACACCGGAAGCCGATCCCCGACCAGGTCCTTCATGACCTGAGGGTAGTCCCCGAAGTATATGGGATCGGCCCACCACGCCAACTGGAATTCCACGAAACGCTCCGCCGTCGCCTTGTCGGCGTCGGAGTCAGGGTCCAGCGGCTGGAGGGCAGCGGGCACCAAAAATAAAAAAACAAAATCGCTATAACCAAACAGTGGATGAAGAAAACTGTAAGTAAAATAGTTTCATTCGAATGTGGTTGGTGCAAGGATCATTTCATGCGTCGGGAAATGCCGAGTAAACGCTGACTTGTGTCGGAGGTGGGGTCTTGCCGGTGGTTTCAGACTCAGGTGTTGGCCCCCCTCCTCCTCTGGTATGAGACGCACCCCTCCCATTCCATGAACCAGACAACGAGACAACGAGACAACGAGACCTTTTTCTATGGCGGGCAAGTAAAAAGCAGAAGACCGTAGCGGGCACAAAAAAAAAATGGATATTAACGTATTAACGACCAGTGGATGAACAAGAGTGTACGTTTCGTACTGTTCCAATAACAAACGTGGGAATAAACATCCAGTGGATGACAAAAGAGGGAAGCGTTGCGTTTCTCTTAGGCTCGTTCATGTTGTCGTTGATGTTGGGGTCCTTGGGGTAGTCCTTTGAAAAAGCGAACAACGACATCGTGGTCCACTCACTCTACCCATCTCCCACGTCGCCGCAGTTGAGCGTCGCACCGATCGTCCGCTCCTTTGATATGTATGGTATATCTATACAGCGGTAATCGCACCAGAACATCAAAATAGCACAAAGTACAATAACAACTACAATAATCGGGCTTGAAGAGAGCTTCATTCACAGAACAACACTTGGGACCACACAACACGATACGATACGATACGATACGATACGATACGAAACGGCTGGGGTAGACGATGGCAGCTTGTCGTCAACTCTCTTTGACGGAAAAACTCCCGCCCGTCACTGCATCCACATCGTCCACAAAGTCGCCCTTGTCATCATCAATCATCAATCGTCTCGCTCACCACAGCCCAGTCACAGTTGAGAGTCATGCCGATAATTCCCCGTTGCTCCGCCTTGTACTTGGTTCGGTAGGTGGACACCGCCCTAGCGTGAGAGTTGAGGACGTTGTGCCCCGCGATGTAGGGCTCCGTGAAGCTATCCCCTTCATCACAGTGTGTCCTGGGAGGGGGGGGCAACAAAGATGACAAGGTTGTTGTTGTTAGATGCCCCCTGGCCGAAAGAACGCTCCTCCGCACAACAGGTGAGACAGCATACGTTAGGCAAGCGGGCATGCAGAACGTGCCCACCACTGAAGAAAACCAAATCGCTAGTCTAAGAAATTGCGCGTTAGTTGGCCGTCACTTCAGAAAAACAAACTGCCAGCCGAAGAAAATGAGGTTTAGTTACACGTCCACGTAACTTGAACCCTAGCCACACTAAATAGAAGGTACCATACATGTAAGGCTGGTTTCCCCCGCTGATAAAAAATCAAGGAGCGAGCGAGCAGCCCTCGTTTCCATCCACCCCCACCCTGTCCAGGATGGGGACAGCGGATGCCACCCCCACGGCGATATGAGGGCTCTCACGTTATATCGCTACGGCCACACACACAAAACCCTGCCGAGGACACCCACCCCCACGCCTTGTTTTCACTTTAACCGCGAGAAAATATTGTTGCGAGGATATGACAGGGAGGGGGTACGCGGACCCTACATCCCTATCCCTAACCCCATTTCCCCCATTAGCATGCTTTATCCAACATGTTATACTTGAACAAAAAACAACCCGCGAAGGCTAACTGATTCACTTGCCTGTTTGAGCAGCGTCCGGGTGCGTGCCCGCCTGTGGAGTAGCCGTGGTGCACGAAGCTCCAAGGCTCGTTGATGGTGATCCACTTCTTCACCTGGAAATGCAAAAACGGCGAGCAATCCGCCACGTTGACGACCCGAAACATCTTATGCGGCGTGATACGGACGCAGCTAACTCGGCAGGGAGATCGGGGGGCTTGCGACCACTCCCCAAGGTTGTGCTTTCGATGCAGCCTTTTTCCCTTTCTCCTCCTCTTCTTCCCTCGAGTTCAAAACATTTTGCAGGAAAGGGTAAATATAAATCAACGGAGATAGGGTTCGCGTCGGCGAGCACCGTCTCGTGAAACCAAGGACAATCATTAACGCAGCGGTGAAATGTTTCACCCCGAAAATCGTCACAAAAAAATACAAGGACGCAATCTCGATATCACACGCGTCAGGCGGGATACACGGCGCACGACGTCCGTCACTTAGAACCGTACTCCACACACCTACATCGCTGCCTCTTCGTCCAACCTGTTCTATTGCTGTCTTTACTTTACACTCCACGCACACCAAAACCCTTCCAGTCTCTACCGCGGACCCTAACCCCTTTTCCAAGGCAATGGTACGGACTAAAGCGTTAGCATCTTCTTTCTTACCTTGCCGCCATACTCCCGGAAGCAGGTGTCCGCGTAGGCATCGAACGCCGGGACGATAGATTCGTTGAGCCAACCGCCGTACTTGTCTTCCAGAGCCTTCTCTCTCATGATTCAACGATGCACCATACAAACAAAATAATGTGCACGCAGGCAGCAGCAGCAGCAGCAGCAAGCAGCAGCAAGCAGCAGCAGACACGAACCGTATCACGTGAAGTTGAAAATATTTGAAGGACGAACGTTGCAACATTTTACAAGAGACGCTTGCCGTACGGGGATAAGTCAAGTCGAAATGCCGGCATTCCACCGCCGCCGCTCTCTCCTGGTTGATCGACTCACAACGTACTTCAGCATGAGAGTTAGCCACCAAAGCGGTTCGTGAACGACCTTCGACCAAATGGTTACATACGAATCGGATATCGTAACGCCCCGAATGAGGTTCAAAACCTTGGTTATTGAAAAAGGAACCTACCGGCGCGTTCTTTATTTCTTAACGGCACTCGCAAGTATTTCGAGGGTTTCAGGAGGGCTCCAACACTTTTCCCGAGATGAGCGCAACTACTGCAACGCCAACGTCAACGCAAGACACCAACAGCAAGTCGGCAAACATCAAAACCCAAAGCCATCGCCACCTGCGGTAGATCCCAGTGGTACAGCGTGACCACTGGCTCCAGCCCCCTCTCCAGCAACGAGTCGATGACGTCGTGGTAGTGTTGGATGCCCTCAGCGTTAGGCTCGTCGCCCTCCCCCTCCGGGTAGATGCGGCTCCACGCGAACGACATTCGGAAGCCGTCGAACCCTGCGGCCTTGGTCAGGTCGGCATCTTCCTCGTACCTGATTAGAGGAGGCCGGCAACGCGGGGTACTCGACGGTTACATGCTTCGTGGGTATCCCGCTATTTTAACTACAAGCAGTGACGTGTTTCTGTGGGAACGTCGGTTGATGCTTGTCCCAGAGAAAACATGCATGCACTTCCGCGAGGGGGGAATGCTACGTGCGCGTTGCATGTGGGGTAGCTTTCTCCTTGTTCAGCTGCTTTGAATGTGCACGGACAGGGACTCTCCACCGCGACTTCCCCCCCTCTCGAGGGGGGGGGTCCGGCAGAATAGAAAAGAGAGCGTTCGCGCGTATTTGGTATCCCTTATGACGAAGCCGACATCTTTTGAGTGATCAGCCGGATAGCACAGCGCGGTCGATGCTATCTAAAGCAACACAAGAGCAACCACACACACATTGGTAGAGAGTAACCCAGCACAGGGTAGCTGGTGCTACCACACGTCGGAGAAACAGAAAATGAAGTATGCCGCTTGGTGGCGTTTAGTCTTATTCAACTTGCACTCCACAAGCAGGGCACCAACCTGTCGTCTTCTAGTTCCTGCTTACCCTCCGTTGGCAGAACCCTTTGCTGTTGCTACCGTTTCTGTTTGTAGTCGGGAGAGCAGCATAGCCTCCCCCATGACGCCCCCTCACGGGGTCCCAGATCATGGCCTCCAGAAGTATTTTTCTGTTTTCAGCCGCGCTTTTCATCGGCCAGCCGGCTATGAAGCGTGGTCGATGCTAACTATAATAAAAAAAATGACACACACTTGAGACTGACGTCATGGCATTGCTCAGCCGGTTAGCGTAGTCCATGCTAACAACAACACATTCCGAGACTGCCGTCTTTTAAATTGGTCAGGCGGATAGCGCGGCCGACGCTAAAAAAAACACACACACACACACACAAACAAACACACACCCGCCTGTGGTACGAGTCGCAAGCGACGTCTCCGTTCTCCCCGCGGGCTACCTTGGGTGGATCCATGTGGGAGAAGGTGTCCCAGATCGTTGGGCCGCGCCCACCCTTGTCCACCGCTCCCTCGATCTGTTTTGTAAGGTGTGATGGGTGCCGATGATGACTGGGGTGATGACGATATTGTTGTTGTTAATGATGATGATGTGCGGGCTCATGATGATTTGTTGTTGTTTCGTTGGTGGCGGCGGGGGCGGGTGGCGGAGGAGGTGGTGTTTCGTTCAATACAAAAAAAACGCAGGTTCTTGTATCGTTGGCGAGAATCTACAACAAGCGATACACCTATTATACCATCCTGTGTAGATTGGCAAAAATAGCTCAAATATCTTTAATTTTATCTTTGGCACAAGCTTTTTATGGCTGCAGAATGTTGCAAAAAAGTTAAGTGTTGCAACTTTTCTTGTAACTTTCCTAACGTACGCTCAGTATCGAAACCTCTGCTGTACCCGTTCGAGACACCGCCACCGACATACAGTCAAAAACGACGTGTATTCTTCCGACTTCTTCAGTTGCCATGATGCTACGTAGAAGACACAAGAAATTTTCCACGTTGCCCGCCTCGGCTGAGCTGTCTGCTTTTCTCCACACAAATGCGCGCTGGGCCAATCCGGTTCACTGACAGGAACATAGTATTATTGCATGTGCACACTTTGCAGTCTTACTTTTTCAGCAAACAAACACAGCGAGATGCCAGAAACGCGGTGGGCAGTGTGTTGCGGTTAAATTACCACATGCCGATGCCGATGAGACCCACATGCCTCCATCGTGAGGATCAAACGCATCGCCTTTGATCTGAGTCCACCCACAGCTCATGTGGATAAAAGGCGCGCCCGAAGCCTGGTCACAGCGATTAGCCGTGAAGTGTGTAGACTTGCTTAGTCTACAGCATGTAAGGTTGATTGTCCCAACTGAATCAGCGGCCACCGAGTACACTGCACTGAAGGACTGCATGGTATATGATACTGCTGTACAGCAGCAGCAGCAGCACACCTCGCACGTGTATCCTAGAGCAGCGCATGCCACACATTTCACAACATGACACCTCTAACAACCTACACGCGTAGACAAGCGGTGCCAACTACCATCTTGTGTCATCAACCATGATGGTGGTGGTGGTGCAACCGTGTTGTCGACGCGTCATGTGACCTTTCCGTCGAAAGGTGCAAGGATCGTACACTGCTACAATACTTCGTACATGGCAATGTCCGCAGACGAGTATAAAGGCGGCAGGACGATAGGAACGCTGCCCTACCTCTCGCTCCTTGCCCTTCCACACACCTGATACGCAGCCGAAGCTGTCCCGAACACGAAGCCCGGCGGCAACCCATCGATGATCGCATCGAAGTCGAAGACATGTTCCCCGCTGCTGCTGCTGCTGCTGCTGCTGCTGCTGCTGCAGTCGACCAGCCGAAGCTGCATACCATCAAGCAGCGCCACTAGCAGCAGGGCCAACCCTGCTCCTCTTCCATTCGTACGGCGGTGGCGCATGATTTTCCCTCTTCAAGGCCTGGTGTGTGATACAGCAGCGAGAGCGCGTCGTGTGGGCGGCCAGCGCAAGTAGCGCAGAGAATGACATGAACGTGGTCAGCCCACCACCGAGGGGGGATCGCGGATGCGATATCCAAACACGGAACGCACCCTGGGCTATGCCCTTCCGCTGTCATCTGCGCGCTCACAATTCAAATACACACAGATCGCGGATAACAAGCAGGTCAGCGGAAGACAGCAGACGTGACACCACTCTGCTGTAGCGCGTGCAACACCGACTATGAGCTCCAAGAAAAAGGTGTGAGGCAATCAGCGTAGATGTGTGTGTAGGCTGCTTGTAAGTGGGTCCGCGTTGTGCGCTATTCTGCACGTGTAGACGAGTCTTCTCTAGCGCTTCCCGCGCACGCGCCAACAACAGCAGGAGTGATGCATTCGTTGCCTGCTTATTTTGTTGCCGCTCCCTGTTTTACGTCTGGCGACTGCTGCACGTAATGGCTCATCGCCCACGTTCACAGCAGCACCGTCCCACAGCATTACGACACAAGATAACGCCGCACATCCTTGCGTAAGATAAGGCACCCCACACAGAATTCAACACCCGGGCTCTTTGCAGGATTTAAAAAGAGGAGCCGAACACGACCCAGGTTAGATAAGATATCACGGAGGCCATGCTGTAGTTTAACCGCGGCGCTGATTCAGCAGTGGTTCCTGGTGACATGCAAGATGGCAGCCCAGCAGGGAACATGCGCAACACACCTCCGAGCGTGGGGGAACCACACCCCTGTAAGGAGTCCTTCAATCTTCAATACACAGACCACCTTTGCATAGGTTCTTTGTGCCAGGTGGTATTAGTGATACAATGTACATGCAAACCTCTTTTCACCACATGACAACTCTCTCTTCGCTGTTTATCGTTCATGCCGGGGATATGTGCGTAGAGCCTACCCCCACCCCTCACTTGCGCGCGACTGGCGAACGCTCGGCAGGAACTTCACTGCTGTTGTAATTTAGTCCGTGGTGTCAATGCTATCAACCCCGCTCAGTACCACACACCCTGCCAGTGCGGAAGCAGTGCGGTAGTTTGTTCAGGCATAGGTATCACCCCCCCCCTCCTGCCACGCGGCCCGCATGTGTCGCCGCAGACACCGTTGTTGGGGTTTCTTTGCAGGCGATGATGCTGACACACGCCCTAGTTTCCACGCAACTTGGAGTCCCTGCAAGTGTGGTACATCACGCCCCTCGCTACTACCACACCCCTGGTTACCACACATTCGTGGTTCCCGCGACCTTCACTTTTGTCGCCCGGTCTACACAAGCTAGCACACCCTCCACAGAATACAGCACCCGGTGATAATGAAAGCCAAAATGTTACGTCCCCGGCGTGTGTTGTCTGGTGTCGTACACCGTATTGTGAGAATTGTGGTGAGTATCCCAGCACGTAGCAGCAGAAGCTGACGCCCACCGACGCTAAATAAATAGTCGATGTGACAGATGATGCGATTTTGTAAACACGGCGCTTCGGTGGCCAACACAGATGCACACAGATACGCAGATATGGTACCTTGGTATACCCCGGGATCTTCCGTCCGGTGCGCTGCTGTACTCCCGAATCCCCGGACAATTCGCCCCGTGTTGGCTTCGGTGTCAGGGGGAAGAAATATATGTGCATGTTATTTTTTTCGTCGAAGTATTCCGTGTAGACAAAGGCCAAGGCTTCACAGAGTCTTACTTTGTGGGGCCCCGTGGCTTGCTTTCCGTACAACCTTCACAATTTCCGTCGCGACCTTCCACTACTTGCTGCTGTACCGGTGGTACTTTCGGCGGCAGCACATGGTAAACTACCGCTGATCAAGTTTTACTTAGTCGATGTCCTGCTGCTACAGTAAGCAGCCTCTTGTAATCGTCGAGGCTGGGTGGGGTTCTTAGTTCCGAGGGTTGTGCTAATGTAGGTTTTGGTGTAGGGGTTCTTGACCGAGCTGACAATAATGCTATTCAAAGTTCTTAGATTTTGAGTTTTTCAAGGTTATATCAACTTCTTGACGGACTGACAAGTTCTTCATTTGCTGGCGCTAACTTTATGTATGCGTCCCTCGCCCGCAGGCGCTGAGAGCGGAGGATACTTTACCCAATGCAGTTGCTAAACTGGCCCGAACCAGCGATGGTGGCATCTGCACTGGTCTAGCACAGGTGAGAGAAACGGAAATGGTTCGTTTCCCCACAACGGTGTTGCAATGCACGCGTTGTCCATATTTTATTCTTCAAGTGTTGCATGCACCACAGGCTGCTGCTGTGCGTATCGTGTGCACGTGTAAACAAGGGGAAGTGATACAGTGTGAACAGTCAAGTTTAGGACGGCGAGAAAGGCAAGCTGAGTGTGTTACGTGCGGCGAGTTGTTGAAAAAATTATGTGAAAAACAAGTATATTTCAGCAGAAGTGCATAATAATTCCCCCCTCCAGGGTGTATCACCACAGTAGGCAGCCGAACAGACTTTCTCGGTAGAACAAGCTGTCGTCTCAACAAACAACTAAAGGTGCATGTAGAGTACATTGCATATTCGCTCGAAGTGGTATCCTTGCCGACCTCTCTGCGTGCTGCCGACACCACCGCCTATTCCCGTTCATGAGGTTGGTGTGGATTCCATACGAGCTATCGTGGAGTTCGGGGGCGGAGTGGAGTCGTTCTTGTTCCTGGCTCCCGTGTGCAAGGGCTGGCTGGATGCTTACGCGTACGGAGCGAAGAAGGAGGCCAAGTACACGAGCACGTACACGAGCACCCTCGCCATCGTCATGTCCTCCACCCGCCTGGCGTGGGCTGTATCCGCCGGGTGGAAGGGCGACGAAAACGCATGCAAGCTCGCCGCAGCCACGGGCAAGTTGGACGTGTTCGAAGGATGCCGCAAGCTCGGGTGCAGGGGGGGATCTGGGGTGCTTTCGGCCGCCGTGCGAGGCAAGAACACGGAGATCGTCCAAGCAGTCCTTGATGACCCTGACTGCCCTGTCGGAAAGGACGCGTTGGAGCTAGCGATCATGTCGGGTAGCGTTGAGACGACGCAACTGGTGGGGTGCAAGTACGAATTCCCGAAAGATGACTGGAAGCGTCAGGCTGTAGTTGATGGATTGTTCAAGGCGGCATCGGAGGGCTCCCTGGCTATGGTTCAGTGTCTCTGGGAGTGGGTTCCTGGTCATGGAGACGCAAAGATATTGCGAGACGCGATAGAAAAGTCCGCCAAGAACGACCACTTCGCCGTGGCGGAAAGGTTAGTGAAAACCTATTTGGACCGGTTTGACAATGACGAAGATACCAATGAGGTGATCTTGACGCATTTCCCTTCCTCTCATCCACTGGCGAAGAAGATAGTGGACGACGAGGCGGAGTACCGGGCGTCGCTGGGATTAGACGAGGATATGGACTACGATCTTTATTATTAGACTGAATAGCCCGGGGGTAGCCCCGGCCTCTGTCTGAAGCCCTGTGTAATTTTTTCCCAAGAGGCGTGTATCTGTGTGGCGTGTGATGCGAGTCGATCGACGTTCTGAAGGTGAAATTGGTTGAGATTGGATAAGATCGTCCATAAAATGAAAAACGAAGACAATATTGTACTGGGAAAGGAAAGGAAACATCTCTACTGCTGTAGTAGTAGGGTTAGTAGGTTCGAACCCCTGACCAGGATACGCACCCGACGGTCGCACATGGTATTTTCCCGCAATCTTGTTGGAAGCGATTTGGGTGGACGGCAATTAATTCCAATTCACCGCGGGAAAATATCAGAGCAGGAATTATAAATTAGGAATGACCGAGGACAGTCGTGATGAAAATGATGTGGTACGTGCGTGTGCTGCGGTCTGAGAGAGGGAGACTAGACTATTCTGACAGGTAGAAACGTGCGGCTAGCCCTTGGCCGTGCTAGAAAAAACGAACGAAGCGGCATACAAGAAATAGGGAAAAGCCCTCACACGTACCACGGGTATACATTGCGTCTTCCATCATGTGCATGTGTGTATGTATGAATGTGTGGATGGATGTGCGTCATCTCTCGCGCGTGTGCCAGAACCGAGGAGCCGAGATAAGAGTCTGGCGACAGTCTGTGGCAGCCTGCATTCCACCAAGCTTTCACCGGGTGGTCTCGGTAGCTTTTTACTCGCGTGGCAATTCTGAAGCTCTAGCTTCTCAGGCTATTATCCGTGCGTGGAACTTTTACTTGACTCCCCACCGCTTGCCCGACCCGGTCCAAATGCGGATCTCGAGGTACAGACCAAATGGTGTCGGGAGTATGTTTCGTTGGGGAATTGTCCAAATCATGACCCCTCCCCAAGTTTGAGCAGCATCCGCCTCCGGTGGCAGACAAGAGTCGGCCCTGGTCTGTTTCGCCATCCAAACGAGGTGGTTCAACCAAGAGCTCTGTGCATCCCAATTAGTTTCTTTTTGTTCGTGCTGAGTGAAGAGGGGCGTCCATGTGGTGTGTGTAAACATTGGTCTTACACTTCACATAGGGTTTATTTGTCACTTGGGATAGACGGTCAATTTGGATGTAATGTAGATCGGTCACACGATCCGTCAGATCGATGGAGTGCACTTGCATAAATGTGGACCAGTAGTACTCCAGTACCACGGACATGCGCACTCGAACGATGAGTCTTGTGTGTGCCGCGCAAGATAGACACCCAGAATAGTCTAGATACGACGACAACGCGGGGAGCACCTTTCTTTGCAAATTTCCATTGCTCAAAGCCTGCGCCTAAAGTCAAGCTGTAATTGGCATATAGAGCAAGAGCTCGGCGGGCGCAGGGCGAGGGAAAATACGAAAATACAGAGCGGCGGTTGTGCCGCGCGCGTATCCGGAACGGAACGTGCTGCGCTGCGAACCTGAATGCGGCGCAACTACTGAGCGTGCGTATTGTGGAACGGCACAATCCCGCAAGCTTTCCTCTCCTCGGCCGGCTCGTGTCCATCAGGGGATCCAAGATTAGGAAAACTAAAGATGGAACCAAATGCATCTTCCCATGTGCGAGGATGCGTTCTGTACTTCTTCTTGTTCATGGCGTATGGCTGCGTTTTGCCCTTCATGCCCCTCATCTGGCGGTCCAAGGGACTTTCCGGTGCAAAATGGCTGATGTTCACGCTAAGTAGGCTTGTGCATCATTTGAATCTCCGCTATGTGGAGAGTTCAGGATAAAAAAGTACGTGCTGGAACCGTCCTCAAAGTAGTGCTGCTACAGTATGTATGTAGACACATAACACAATTGGAGCAAAGGATTCATGATAGCGATGGCACTGGAACTGCTTGAAGAGTCAATCGTTTCTGTTTCCGTGAAAACTCGACTTTCCAAGGACGTTCTGTGTGTTTTTAGCCAGTTCCATCCCATCCGTACACTTGGCCGGTTATCTTGGTTAACCGGCCCGTCGCTGCTTATGTGTGCCAACTCGTCTCGAGCTACAAGGTTGAAGCGAACGGCTGTGTTCCCCTCTACTGTTGCCGTCAACGCCGCTGATCAGAGAACCAGGTCGGCCTGCTGGGTGCCATCAATCCGGTTGCATCCTTCTTTTGGACCCCAGTCGCTTGCGCGTTCGCAGACAGGCACAACATTCAGCAGCAGGTGAGGTTGTGAAGCGTGATCCCGCTTATGCTCTTAATCCTTTACACATTATTTAGTTCGATGCACCCCGGATATGTTCTTCCCCGCACCTACATACACAGCAGCCCCCGCCGACAACCCCGGGCCGGTGTCACCACGGAGAGAAGAATGAGTTGGTGTTTGACTCGTGTCCGCGAGAGTAGCATCATCCCCCCCCTCCATGATGGTGTGGGGTGGACAGAGAGCGTATTCGAATCGGCGTACGGGTTTTTCCAGGCCGCTCCGTCATTCCTTTGTGTAGACCATTCTTCTCGGAAAGGAAGGAGCCGTGGCGAGTTTGTGCACGCTGTGTCAATCCGCGCACTATTTCCGCCACGGAGGGCTACGAAGCTAAGTCCGTCTTAACCCTTTACTCTGCGCACGTTCCTGTTGTTTCTTCCCCTTCCTCGACTCCTCCGCCGGTACTTAGGATTAATTTGTATCCTACCACGAGTAAGGTCGTCTACGCGGCATCGATCCTGTACGCCGTTACCCGGCCGTCGGTGTTGTTGGCCGGCTCCTTCCTAGCCGTGGCGGCCGTGGAGATTTCGGTTTCGGTCTCCGAAAGCCCCGTCGGTAGTCTCGTCGACGCGACTATCAGGCACGCTTCCGGGGGAGATGGGTGAGTGGGAATCTTGACAGCAAATAGGAACTGAATATGTGGACGGTTTGTCCAATCACGCAGAGACTACCATATCATAAACTGCTGTGCCCTTACACTTCTGCCCTCACCCGTGCTCTCGTGAAAGTTGCGCTGGTCATGCTGTAGTACACTTATGATGTTCAAGCTTGAAGAGACCAATGGCCCAAGACAAGCAGCACGTATAGTAGCCCTCTCCAAAAAGGTACGAAACACCGATGTGCCGGACAACCAAGATGAAATTCGAGATTAAATAGCCGCGAAATGAGATCCCCCAATCTACACCATATTACACACGCATATTCTGACCCCTTCCCCCCCGCCAAAGGTTCGGCTCCCAGCGGTTATGGGGTGCTGTGGGCTTCGGGATCGCCTCTCTGGTCGCCGGGTATGTGTCCGATCTGTACGGAGGAAGCTTTTCCGGCGTGATGCTGGTATTTGTGGGGAATGTTCTCGTGGCGCTGATGGCGTCGACGGGCGCTCCTATCGGGCAAGTGAACAAGGACAACGACAACGACGACCAAGACGGCGAAGGAGCCAGCGGCGGGTGAGTTGGGTGTGCTGCTTGCTTGATGGTTGTACATGTTGATATCCTTGCTTGCTTTGACGGTCGGATTGATTCTGCACCCTTGATCGACGACAGTGGCATTCACGATGCACGGTATGTACATTGTTTCAATGTTGTCAACGGTAGCAGCGCATCCGGGGAGGTGTTGGAGTCTGTGGACAGGGAGAGCAACGATGCACAAGTAGGAGTGAACGGTGTTCACCAAGAGCACGAGCAAGAGGGCTCGAGCCTGAGGCCTATGGTTTCTACCATTACCACTAGCACCGCCGCCACCGTCGCCGCCGCTGCTGCGAATAATCACCACAACCGCAATGAAGCCCGAACAAACGACGGCGATGCACTATTGGAGTATCGTCCTGGGGACAGTAGCACGAGCGGTGAAGTTAAACGGGAAGTGGGGTCGGAAGAAGGAGCGGGAGAGAAAGCTGGTGTGGTCATGGCCATCCGTATCATGCTCGGCACGGACGAGAGCGCGTCGTTCTTCACAGCGGTGGTGTTGAGCGGCATGGGCAGAGGTGTCATCGACACGTTTCTGTTCATCAGGTGATGTGATGGTTGAAGGTGTTTGAATGTAGGGCACAGCAGTTTTCGATATTGAATTAGCCGGCGCATAAGGTGTCAACGAGGCTTGATTATTTTTTGTGGTAGAGCTCGTAAACAGGCCCGTTGAAAGCAAATCGAACTGGGTCCGTTTGCCATTTTCCGTTCCCAGCCGATATTGCTTGGTTCGTCCTGCATCCCCAATCTTATCCTGCAGCCCCTCTCAACAACCTTGCCTTTAACGTTTTAGTGCTCGTCGTCCACCATAGAAACCTGACTGCGTGCTTAGTCGCGGTGCCAGGCGTGGAATGACTTTCTCGTACGTTGCTTCTCCCTTGCCTCATGTTTTTCTCCTCTAAGCTGGAAGAGCTGGGCGGCTCTCGCGTGCTGTGCGGGTTGGCTCGTCTCATCATGTGCATGGCGGAGGTGCCCTTCTTCTACCTGTCGGGTCCGCTCATTCGGCGGGTCGGGGCGAGGGGCGTGATTGCCCTAGCCCAGCTGGCCTACCTAACTCGCTTCGTCTACTACTCGGTGCGTTTTAGCGTGTGCGTGTCTGTTCGCGTGTCTGTCGAACCTCATAACACGCCTCTTTTTTCAGTTGAGACAGTTGGGTGTCGTCTCGACATCTGGTCAAGGGTAAGGCATGCGTGGCGTCCGTGCGGCATTATCTTACGAAGGAGCCAAGCACGTGCATTCGCTCGTGTTGCTGTCTGCAGGTGCTTCGAGAGCCGTGGTGGGTGCTGCCTTCGGAGGTGTTGCACGGCCTCACCTTCGCGGCCATGTGGGCAGCTACCACCGACTACGCGCACCAAATCGCTCCAGGTAACAAAGAACGAAGACTGTTTAGACTTAGTTACGTCGAAGGTGCTTCGTTGAGCTTCCCCACGGTCTGCCGTTGCCTTGGCCTTTGGATCTAGCGTATTATATTAATTCGGCAAAATATAATAGGGGGAGAGAGCGCGGGAGACAGAGACAAAAGTGCAGCAAAAAGAGAGTGCACTGTAGACGCAATAGCTGTTTCCATCTATTGGCCATGAGGGCAGCCCGCGACAGGATGACGGGCACCGACAGGGTTACGAAAGGGGTGATGCGCGGTCGCGGTGCGGCCGGTAGGGCAGGTTGGGCTTGTAGACCTTGAAAAAAAACGGTCAAGCTGCCTAAAATCTTTATTTTCAGTATATTCAAATGATCAGTGAAAATGATCAATGAGAGGCTTGTAAACCCGTAGCTGGGTTCTGTACTTCTGTACTTCTCTCCCCTCCCCAATTTGAGCCCTGCCGGCTTACGACAGCTCCTGTTATTTTCCCACAATTCACACAAGCACAAAATACACCAGCACACACCTACCTTTGCATCATTGGCTCCCTAGGTTCGGGCGAGGGCATGTGTGGCGCTACGATGATACATGTGTTGCTACATGTATGTTGGACAAGTCAATACTGCTGCTGCTGTGTAGTGTAGCTGCTGACACGATACCTGCTAGATCTTGGGAGCGTACGATTGTATAATCTGGAGAATATGCTGCCCTCCGCTCTTTGCTTCAGTGGCTTCCTAGATTCGGGTGAGGGCATGTAAGTGGAGATATTGATGTGTGTCTCTGTGAAAGGATGTGGGGAGAGATTCGTTGTGGCATTCATATTTTGCCCATTGTGCATTTTTCAAATATTGGTACGTTCCAGGGACCTTGATTTTACCCGCTGGTACTAACGTCTTTCCAATGGTGACCAGTTAGCACGGTCGATGGTAATAATACAGACACACCATACCTATGGATTTGCCAACACCTGGCGTGGAGGGACGGATACAGGGCGGCAACTCCATGGCATGCCACCACACCAGCATTTGCAAATGGTCAGTCAATGATCTGTCAGGACGCCGGTAGACCCAAAAGGGTTAAGCTCCCTATGCGCTTTAGGGTTATGCTACAAGCATCGCCGTGTCGCCAAACGACACAAGTTGTTACAAGGCCGAGCCTTCGCCCGCTCACGCATCAACTTACATAGCTAGATGCCCGCCCTACTCACCCTTGACCGAAACGTGTCGCGTTCATGCACACAACGAAATAATTTCCAGCTCAATTGCGAACAACGATCCAAGGCGCGGTGTCAGGGTTGCATGGGGGCCTCGGGTTGGGGCTGGGGGCGATGCTGGGAGGAGTGCTGTACACCGGCCTAGGCGCCAGGCGGTGCTTCGCTGTCAGTGCCTCTTTGCCGTCGTTGTCTCTGCTCCTGCTAGTCATGCCCACGGCGCGCCGCTGGTGTAAAAGCCACGGCGCGGGTGGGCGGCCGCGGGCAACAGGGCGACGGCCGCGACGACGGGCGTATGTACGAGCTCGTCGGCGACGTAAGTGCACGAGGGTCTGACTACGATGGCTTGTTGCGTGGTTTGAATCGGGACTGGGAGGTGGAGATGGTGCATTTGGCGAGGGGACCCTCCAAGGACGATATTGTAGGAGCCCCTTCGATACCGGATTCTATTTCTCGTGCATCGTATGAATCGTTGCTTCTCCTACCTCATGCTTGTGTTGTTGCTCTGTCTCAGGAACCCTTCCAAAATGACGATCAGAACGACAAGACAGACCACAGCAGCAGCAGCTTGAGCGACGGCGAAAATCTCGAACAACAACCGGGAGAGGGGGTCCCAGTGTAGACGAGCAGGGTAGTTTCTTCTTCTGCGTCGACACATTGAAGTAGAGGGTTTCGACGAACTTTGTCTGCTGTTGTGTCTCTCGCGTGTGCCTGATGTGGGTTCCAGAAATGATCAGAGTACTGGTGTCTCAATCTCTCGGAGAGGGTTCCGTGCACGTGAGTCTAGCAGAGAAAGCGAGGAAATGTTCACCATGTTTTGGTATAGGAGGCGCTTGCTGGACAACATAAGTTTATTATGTGCATGGGTTATGGAAAATTATTTGTTCGTTGCTGTATATCGTTGGTTTTTCATTGTTGTTGTGGGCAACGGATCTGTGTTGACAGATGTATTATATTCCGGAGTTTGCTCTGCACAGTGAATAGAGGGCGATGTCTACTACGAACTTGAATGGACGATAGCGCGAAGTACGCTATTAACCGGTTACTGATGTTGCGATGTTCGAAATGGGGACCACTTTTGGCGTAACGGGTGTCTTCAGCCACGATGCACACCGCCCCTTTTGCATCTACCACTTGCCAGAGTATACGTAGGCGGGCCGGTAGGCGGTAACCGGACATGAATGTGAAAGCAATGAACGGTGATTATCCCGTACCTCCAAGAGATACCACCTCTGTTCTTTCAACGTACTGGGCGCCTTACGATGTGCCAGCTAGCGCCACATCTTAAAGTCCATATCAGGCACGCTCAGGGGTTTCCCCGACGTGCGTGCATATTCCGCCCTCGAACAATACAGACAGCACTTGGAATTTTCCTTGCCCGCACCAAAGTTGGCATAGCATATCTCTGCACAGGCGGGTCGGATTTGACGTCTGAGTAGCGTGTGTGATAGCTGCGCGCCGTGTCTACACAATGAAATTTATTCAGTGTCGATTGGAGAGCTTTCAGCGCGGAGTTACCGTAGGTTTTGAGGTAGGCACCCTTTATTATCTCGCTGAGCCCCCCCCACCCCCCCCCCCCGTTTCTGCCCTTTATCTGCAACCACTGATCCCATTTGGCCCCCGAAAGGCTTGTGTGATAGCTGAGAATCGTGGCTACACGACGCGATTGTGTGTGTGTCAATTGGAGCTCTGTGGGCTGATATCCGGGCGGTGTCGTCGAAAATAAGTTACGAAGACCGGTGTCGTAATTTAGAACTCCCCATTATTTTTTGGATATCTTGTCCTATCGGCTAGGCATCACTAATACCGCCCGTGGGTTAAGGGCGGAGGGGCCAAGGGGGGGTCGACAAGAGAGGGGCTGGTGGTGTCGCTCAAGTCGGGGCCGTGACTACGCCGGCACCTACCTCTACAGCGTTTTCCCGTCCTTGCCGAAGGCAGCTGAGGAGGACACGAACTCACACCCGCCTTCGAATCGCTTGTTCTCGTTATCCAGTGGGACGAGCTGACCGAGAGATGAAGCGGAGCGCGACAGAAGCAGGAACGATACTCAGAGAAAACAGTTGAAGGGGGGCGACATCGCCTGGTGGACATTTATTTGTTGTTGTCGTCGTCTCAATGATAAATGTCTACTCAAGTCTCTTCTCAGTACCGGTTCACCTTCCTTGGTCATGCGCGAACTAACTACCCACAAAGGGTGCATTCGTGTATCACGATTGATTCGATCGAGGTTCAGTCTGTGTTCCTGACGCTGGGTTTTTCGACCGCGAGGGTTGGCAGGCGGTGGAGTGGACGAACTCGTCCTCGTTACCCTGGCCTTGTTCCCGCTTTCGCGAGTCCTGAGTTTGTTTGATCGCTCAACTAGTAGCTAATGCGAAACTTGCCGTCGCAGTAGTAGGACGGCCGTCGGAGAAAGCCACCCGGGAAAAAGGAGGGGCGGTCTGGAGCGAACGAAGAAACAGTAGCGGGCAGGGTCCAAATGCTCGGATGCTTGTCTGTCATGTGCTTGCAATAGTAGCCCCCCGCACTCTCGCTCACCAGCTCAATCTTGGTTCGGCACATGGGGCACTCCTCCGTTAGCGTGTAGATGTGCAGCCCGCACTCCCAGCACAAGCCGCCGTGGCCGCAAGGCAGCATCACGGTGGAATAGTCTTGGTCGAAGCAGATCTGGCAAGCGCGCTCCCCGGCAGAGCGCAAGTCCTTTCCCGCCGCCTCCCCCTCCCCACTAATGTCACCGTCGCCACTGATTTGAGGAGGAAGAAGCAGAGACATACATCTCAGGAGTGACTTTGGTACTGTCGACGTTCCGCAGAAGAGCAAGCCCATAGTCGGCATGCGGGGTATGCAACGATGATGGTGATGCTACAACAGAGCGACGCAAAGTACACCAAGCAGGGGGGTGGGGGGATGCAGGCGGGCGAAACGTTGTGCAAGCGGGCGACGACTAACCCATTGGTGTCCCAACCACGAACAGCTTTTCTTGTCGAGGTGAAACCGTCGACAACTCACCCTGTAACAGAAACACACCTACCTTCTCTTGCGGAAAGATCAGTCTCGTATTAAACTCCATCACAACGTGGTATCCTGCAACTTCAGCATCCCGATTCGTTAAAAAGTCCACGCACCTTCCTCGTTCGTCACGGCGCTCTTCCGGCGCATTTTCTAATGTTCAGAGCAGCCGAAGTCAAAAGTCAGCAATTAGACTTGACTAGTCACTGGTGGCACACAGTGGCAAAATGTGCTGCTACGAATCAGATCATCAGAAATCCTCCACCGTGCCCAAACTTCGCTCCCGACAAGACAACACCCGCCCCTTGTAGCTGAGAGTCGTGTTTCCCCATGCCATCGGCGGGCCGGGTCTCGTACCTCTGGCTGCCGGGGGCAACGTCGTTGCCGTCGGCCGCTCCCCTCGCCATCGCCTCTTCGAAACAAGCTGGGGGCTTCGCCATATCATTAGAACCACCCTCGTCAATAGACGCGTCCTTCGTCTTGCGGGAAATCCTCTGCCAATCGTTTTGGGTATGAGAGGCAAACGGAATGGAAGGTCGCCGGTATGTATGCGCGTAAGGTCGAGTGGTACCACCGCAAGAAGAGGCGAGTGATCCCTCTATACAATCTTGTGACACTCCGCCAAAGCCGATACACGTATCTCCACAGCCTTTGCGCCGGTCCCGGCAAGAGGTGCAATTTCGGCAAGCTTGCAGACAAGCTCCGCGCGATGAGTTTTTCGCTAAACAGGGCAACTTGTCTTTTGACTATTAAAAGGTGGTGGCTAAATATGCGGAACTTGAACCAAAGTGTTGTTATGAACACGCGAGCAAGTGAACAGCCAATTCGTGGGTCGAGGGGCGGCGGGGGTGGAGGACGCAAACACCAGAACTTCGGTGTCTCAAGGGCAGTTGTTGGCAGAAGGGGCGTTGGGACTCTTGAACAGCAAAAAGGGAAAGCAGCCATGGTGCGCTCGGCAAGGGATGATAGGGAGAGAGGGGACGTCGACAGCATCAACAATTTGTCGAGAACGCGCCCCAGGCGTTTACAAGTTCATTGAATCAGCGAGAAAGCTTGAGCACACACACGCGCGCGGCGCCACATCAACACAACTCGTGTGCGTTGCAGTAGTAGCAGCTCCCCCTACCCCTTCTCAACAACAATGCCAACGTGCAGCATGGCCCGTGGGACGCATACAGTACGCCAGCCCACCAACCCATCCCACCTTCCACCATTTGCCCTTCTTCCTCTTGGAACTGGGACGGACCATCTTGACGCCATCGGGGACAGAGTACAGCTTCCCCTCCGCCTCCACCTGCGCGATTGTCGCCGCCGGTAGCCGCCGGTGGGTGCTCAGCATATTGTAGGGAGGTCGGACTTCCAAAGGCGACTCGCTGTCATCATTTGGAAGAGAAACCTACGCACACAAAACACGGTTATGCACAGTCCACGCGTGTCTTCGCGTCCACCTCCTACCATACATGAACGCGTGTTGTACATACTGTAAGTACTGCGAGGGGGCGGGAGAGCCAGGACAAGTCGACAAGCTGACGTCGCCACTTTGGCGGACATCATATTTGCGGTGGGCCTTCCCATGAAACATCAGCGTGATAGAGCCGTCCAGGAGTGTAAGCTGCACACAGCGATTCAGTAGGATCAGGCGTCCCATTTTGTGGACCATCCATCCTTCGGAAAGGCAACAGCACGGGGCGAGGGTGGAAGGGTACGTTGGCTAGGCTTGGCCGTGTCGTACTTCTCCAAATACCGCCCATCGGAAATCTTGTTGTATAGTCTACGTCGTAGCGGCAAGATTCACAAGGAGTTTGGTATTTCGATGGGACAACGTTGCGTTCCGGACAGGGGAGACGCAGTTGTCCACGTCGACACTATGGCGCTGCGCGGATAGAGTAGAGGTGCCCTTTTAGGCGTCAAAGGGAATCATGACAGAGCTGTAGTGTCGCGAGTGCAATACATGCCCTGGTTTCGCCAAACTCGACTGCAAGTGGAAAGGGACCGGTGATGTACCAGTGGGTAAGGGCGGGTCTGAAACGTTACTCGAACTGATGTGGTGCTGTATCCGTAACACTTGATGAGATTGCGCCTATTCCCGCGTACTCTTCAGTGTGGATGTGTGGTCAGTCGGTGATGGCGCCGCGGGTTCTTGTGGGTGGTCAAGGATGAAACCGGAGGTGGTTGCGCCGCACTCTGGGAAGATAGGAGGAGCGACTAGGTTAGGGACGACGGGGTTGTCGTCGTGATCGATCCAACAGCAAGGGAGATGGGAAGCCCAACAACGCACTCCAACCGTACATGAGGGAGGGTCAATTTCTGGTAGCTGTTGAGAAGGCGCCCTTTGCCTTGCCAACGGGAAGGGGGCTCCCGCCCGGGCTTTTTTTTTTTTTTTTGTTCTTCACTTCAAATCAGCGCTCACAGCACTACTAGTCCCGTTTATTCCAACCCGTGGTCACACAGAAGAGCCTCTCTCTACGCTCCCCTCCTGCGGTACTTCGCCTTCAATTTTTAATGCGAGAAGAGTTCAGCACTCTCTTCCCTCTGTGTACACACGAACTAGCGCTAACCACTTGGCCAGGAGCGGAAGCGAGAGAAAAACTCACTTTGCAAGAAAAGCTCGCCTACGCCGGGATTCGAACCCCTGACCTGACCTCTAGAAGGTTACGAAGCTACCAACTAGACCACCGGGGCGACCGGCTTGGGCATACGACGCGGTGGATGGGTGCCCGTACGGGCCAGAGGTAGCGTTCTTGTACCCCGGCTTATATACAACTTTTAATTTTCGGGTGCGTGTAGTTGTGTTTAAATAGGTTCAAAGCGACGGGTTTATGTGTTGGGTTGTTGACTATGGCATTGAGATGGGGGCGGGGGTGGGGCTGCAAGGTGAAGGGATTGGGGATGAGGGAGGGATGACGCAGACGCACGGGAGATGGGGAAGATGCAGGCTGTTGAGGTGGGGTAGCAACCCAATGAAATACGAGGGATCCGGTGAAATATAGTATAGGCGGTATCTTGTGCACTGTACGCCCGGTTGGGATATCATGCAGTCGGCGTAACGGATCCACGACAAAAATAATAACACCACAATCCATCGAACTTCCATAACACCATTTTTGGCACGCGGCGTTCAGCAATCCAAACAAACTTCGTGTCTTCGTGTTCATCCAACGAAGACGATGAGACGTATTTTTTCCGAATGTTCTGCTGACTACTACTGACTGTACCTGCAAAAACCTACTCGTATCTTACCCACGGAGAACAGAACATAAGAGAACATAAAGGTGGTGGTCTAACACTTGATTCTCCACCGGAAAGCTCGGCCAATCAGAGGCAGGCGTGGTTACGTTCAATTGCGATTGTCTGAGCGGTGATTCTCTGGGATTCAGGCGAAAAGCGAAAAGTGCCTGCCGATAAGACTAGATGGAGGGTTCGCGGTGGTCGACCACGCGATGCGTGCAGCCACTTTGATTTTTTTTTACATACTTGGTGCTGCGTGTGGCGTTGATCTGCACTCACACCAACTACTATTTACTACAATACATACTGCTGTTGTTGCTGCAAGCAGCTGTTAGTTGGCTATTCCCCGTACCGCCAAACACATCGAACTGTCTCTCTGATGTACCTACAGCATACCTTGAGCTCCACAGGCATTTTTCTCTTGCGCATTGCCCGCGCGGCTTCCTCCACCTCGCACCTGGAGACGCTTCGCTCCTCGCTGCTGCTGGAATTATTGCTGCTGCTGGAACAGTCCGCCTGGCTGCCCACGAAGAAAGGCCCCAGCATCGACACCCCCAAGACAACGACGATAGCTACAAACGGCAGCATGATGATTTCCCGTGCAGTAACAAGTGTTTCCACACAGGATCAGGATCAGGATTATTAATTGCTGGCGGGCAGGGGGGGGGAATGGGTGCCAACACGGGACGGGCGTCGTTGTATCTGCGGTTCGTTCTTGGCGCAGATTCGGCAGAGTACATACATGCACAGAAGAGGAGTGGCTGTGCCCGTGAATGCCGTCGTCTTCTTGGGTCGAACGGGTCGAACCGAGGGGAGAACACCCCAGTACGGCCAAGGGAAGGACGCAAGTGCCACCGGCCGTACGCGAACGGATGCGGCGTTGTACAAGCAGCAGCGACGCCGCTCTTTCTCTCCCCCGGAAAATAATTCACGTGCTGCTGACACAAGCAGCCAGGTGAATGGGAGCAGCAGTAGCACAGCAGCAACGTCTCCGACTATCGTGGGCGTGGTTGTTGTATCGACGAGAGAGGTGCTCAACCGCACGGCAAGATGGGCCCATCGTCTTTTTTCGTCACTCATTCATGTCAACTGTTTTTTGCACGGTATCCGAGGGGTATATATATCCCCATCATGCAGCACGCTACCTCGTCCCATCGATGCTTCTTCTTTTTTTCGTCTATAGCAAGTGAGTAGGCCCCCCCGATGTCGGAGAGACGTCGCACACCGCACACATTTCTGGAAGCAACTGGAAGTGTGATATTTGTCCGCACGCATGACATGCCGAAGTGAGGGGACGGGGTTGAAGGGTGTTGCCACGCCAGCCTAAGCAACCTCTTTCGCCCCGCCGGTCCTGCCGCATGCATGGGTGTGTACAGCGTTACCTATCTTCCATCGTGACGACTGTTTCATCCCTTTCGTCATCGTTCGCGCCCAACGTGCGCGCGAAAAAAAGGTGGCTCATGGAGGAGGCAGAGACGGGGCGCGCGCCATCGACGCAGAGGAGAGTGATTGATCAAGGGTTCTTGTTCCACCACCACGGACAGCACCCATGAGCTGGCAGCCCTACCTAGCGAGTGACAATACCCGTCGACCACCCGACTTGTCGGGCGAGGCGGGTAAATTTAGGGGGCGACGCACCTGCACGCGCACAAAATGGCCTGCCATCTGGAGGCCCCCCACCGGCAGGCGACTTATGTGCGAGATCCGGTCGATGGAAAATGTGAAGAATAGAGTCTCCTGTCTCGTTGCACAAGTAGGTTTTAGGGCACCAGTACTACTGTTGCGGTGGGACCAAGCGGTGGTCAGTCACTTCGAAGAGCAAACTCCGGCGATGATACCCTTGCTAGCTGCCATCCTCTTGGCCGGAGCCGCGGGCGCCGGCCCGGTCCTCGTGAGCGACGCCTGCGGGAGCGACACAACGACGAACGATGACCTTGCGCGGGGACGGTGTGCCGTGGAGACGGTCTCCCGAAATATGAAGGCGAAGGAGAGACCGGCGGAGTTAAAGGTGCGTTGAGCGATAGACGACGGTGCGGGTTCGAGCGATTGCAGAGCTTGAGCAGGCTTGAGAAGCAAACAGCAGCTTGCTGGGTGTGTCCGGCTCGTGTCCGTGTAATCATCCGATGTTTTTTCGCCGCCTCCATCGAACGTTGTTTTTAAAAGCGTGCCGAAATTTGCGTAGTTGTAAGACCACGTGTACGGTGTACCCACGAGGAGGGTTGTACTTTGATGTTTGCAAACAACGGGCCGTTGCGTTCCTTGTGCACAACAGAATGCGGTGCTGTGTTGCAGGTTGCAGGCGTGAGTTGTACCGTGGATAGCTGGCGAGCCGGGCATGATCCTTTTTTGCGCGATAAATAATTTTTTAGTTGTGGTTGTAGCATGGGAACAATGTGAGAGAACGAGATAACACAAGCTTTGCGGTCGGCAAACCGATCGTGTGTTTGAGAGAGTTAAATGTACCGCAACACCGCCGTTACGCACTACTGCTGCACCATAACTAACTCACTGGAACACACGGGAGCCGTGCATTCACCTTTCTCGCAAATCGCTTGAGTGCGTAACGCGGGCTCATGATCGCAATCGGCTACAATATGAAGTGCCCTCCTTCTACACCGCGCAGCAGCGCAAATGGCATGAGTGAAATTGCACTGACTGCTGTATAGGCGTGCGGGTAAACAAGTTGACTCAATCCAACACAGCACCACCGCCGCCATGACTGAAAGAAGACACATGCCGAACCACACCCCGCCGATGGTATGTGTCTATCATGGCGTGGAGTACATTAAAAGACATCGCCATACGGTTTGGGGCCCTCCAAGGGTTGTTGCAGCAACAAGGTCAGCCGCCTTGATGGCTTGGATGGTAACATGAAGCCACGGAACCCCCGCAATTTCCGATCAATTCAAGCAGTTGTCAGTTGTGCAGAGTGCGGTCTTGTTGTGCTGCTCACGTCCGACAAATCGGGCGGGTTGTATGTATCTAGCTTACAACGGAAGAGTTTTTGTGTGTTTTTGGTCCCTGCACACACTCCCTCCATGTTACACCAAGGTGCATGGTGGCTTGCGACGACTTTGGGGGGCGGGGCGGGGGGTATTGTGAGACGATTAGTGTGTGTCGCTCAAAACCCGCAAATATAGGGCATAGCGTGATGACGTCACACAGCAATCTACCACCGTGGACCTATTCTTATTCTTGTGCATGTTGTTGTGTTGTTGTCTTCACATTAAAAACCGTTCCGTTCTCTCTGCCCAGTACCTTCTTCTGTCCGTACTAGTGTAACACTTGACGGGATCGATTCCCGTGGTCACAGGCTAACTTACCCAAAAAAGGTTACGAAAATAAAATGGACCCGGAGGGTCCGCAAGCCAATAAAAGTCAACGACAGATAGTCTAGGCCACTCCGCTCGCCTCTCTGCACTCTATGCGAGGTAACCCTAGATTGGAAAAAGATAGAAAAAGTAAAAAGAAAAAAGAAAGAGAAAAAGAAAAAGAAAGAAAGGAATTGAGCAGATGGAGAGAAGCAAAGGGAAAGACAAAGACATAGACAGAGAGAGACACACTCCGTAGCGACAAGCAACAAACAAACAAACAGAACAACACAAAACAACACAAGACAAAGCGGGCCACTCGAGCCAGCCCATGCACGTCATCGCTCGCGGGGGGTTGGTGCAATGGTGCAGTGCTGGGGGGGGGGGGGGGGGGGGGGGGG